ATCATATTTTGCATCCAAGTCTAAGACTTAGCAGCGTTTCACGCTATCAAAGTCAAGACACTTGACACTGAGGTCCACAGGGATCCTCGGCACAGTGACGTTGTAGCTCAAACCGCGATTCCAGCGCCTCAGCATACACCTGACTAACTTCGATCGTGGAGTGTCGAGCATGATTACCCGACACTTCGAAATCGATAGGATCTTGAATAGCTTTTAAAGCCCTTTACTGTCGTTTTTACGACCAGCAAGCCCGGCTTGCACAAACGTTTTGTATTTAAGAGCACGGAGCATTTCAAGGCTGGACCCTGCTGCCCTCTACCTCTTTGAGATACAACAGAACTCCGTTCTTCCCCAGTAGGGCGCGCCCCGCGCCTACTGGGTCTTCTCGTTTTCACCGCGAAACCAGACTGGTTAAATGCGGGACGTCGGTTCGACGAACCTTTACGGGCATTGCGCAAGAAACAACCAGTCTGAAGGTGACTGGTGTCTCCACCGCCAGGTGTTTACACGCTGCTCAGCAGCTTGGAGTTCTCCCTCCTCTTTCTCAGCATAGCTGATATCCATTGGCTCAGGCCCGCCCGACGAGCTTTGAGGGTGTGCATTCTAAGCAAGTCGTGCCGACTTGAGGTTGAATTCCGCAATCAATGCCACATTTATCGCTTTTTCAAAAGAAGACGGATGCACACAGAAGACTTCCATTCTCGCCACGCAAGTTCCAAGGCCCTCCATAACGACGGTCACTGCGAACGCGATCGAACGCGATATGCCTGATTAGGCGGGGAGAACAGTTGCAAATGCTGTCGCTTCCGCTCCTTTCTGGGTAGGAGAGGCCAAGATGGCTATGACATCCGCCATGTTTCAGAACGAGGAACAGCACGAGGTGCTAGCTACCTCTAAGCTCGCGGGCTGAGCGCGAGAATGGGCACTAACGTTCGGTGCTTTGGTTATATCTGCGTCTCCTTCCTGGGCAGGAGATTTTCTCCATTCTCATCCGCGAAGGTCTTTTCGTTCACCATGAGCGGCCTGGGTCTGGAAGAGTCAGTCGTCATCGACGGTGGCGTCATGGTCGCAGTCGCCGCTGACAGCATCTGCTGTAGGTGCTCTAACAGAGCATTCCCATAGCTCGAATACTTTTAGGCACGCGTTTATCGCTTCGGGTTCTTGCCAAATAAGGTGCACCACGTCCTCTTGGCCCAGCAGGGACATCAGCTTATTAAGCCCGTCCTGCATGCCCTGGGGCAGATAGTAGTATTGCTCCATCCTCATAGCGGATCAGTCGTAACGACTCGAAGTAGATTGACTACGGGGCTGCCATAGCTCTTTGCTTATAGGAAGTGAGGCTAAAGTCACTGACCTTGCGTTCTTTACAAGAGCCAGTGCGAGTGCAGCGAATCGCAATCCGCCACCCCTAAGAGTTTTCAAGACCTTAGACAAGGTAAATGAACTCTTTCGTTCAAAATTGAAACCATATATATTTTTTTTGTTGCGGCAGAGCCGCCAAAATCCAAAACCTTCGCTTTTCCTTATTGATATAGTAATACGTAATTAATACAGTGAAAACCTAATTGCTATGCATTATTTCTGGCAATCCCACCACATACTTGCTTCTTGTTACGATGTATCCACACCACTGTATGATTACACCAACTTGTGTAATCCACACTTTTGTACAGTCACCTTTCATACAAGGGTACGTGTAACCCGTTACAATGGTCATGTGGATAAAGCTCGTTTCAGCAGACACCAATTTTTAAGCAATGCTTCAAGGCAACAAGGAGTATGACCCCTAGTGTGGTCAAAGTTTCGCTAGGCGAAGGTGCCACAGAGTTCGTACTATATCATTGTAGACGTACACATTGCGGAGAAAGTAATTCGCGCTCCTTTGACTTGTGGTAGTGAGCAAAACTCCAACCGCATACTTCAGTGCCTTTTTTAAGCCCACCTGTCAGTTTCAGCGAGACCTTCAGAGTGAAAATACTGTCAAGTAACAATTTTTGCAAACACGACTTGTCTGTGGAAGTTGTCTTAAATCGAAATCGGCGCTTGGCAAGAAAGTTTTGGCAATCTTTCATCTGATTTCACGTTTACATACTACTGCTTGAATTCGCGCCCATAAAATCACTTTCGCAGCTTCATGCCCGCGCCAATAGTACTTTGCACCATAGCAGTGGAAAGGACATGCCTTTTGTATATGGTTCTAGTGAGCCCATATAACGACGAACTATCGTAGCTTTCGCGAAACACTCAAAAACTTTGTCCCTTAGTTCAGTGCATAGCACATCAGACACCGCTTTTGTCACAGAAACAAAGATGCCAGATTTGTGAAATTTGATGTAACGTAAGTGCTAAGAGACCAAATGGCACAAAAATTAAGAAGTTAAGCAAGAGAAGAATTGTTGTAAAATTTTAGCTATTTACTTGTATTATTTATACATGGGCTATATTGGCTATTTCGTGTGGAACCTGAGTTGCTGGACGTTGATTTGATAAAATTCCAAATATTCCTAAGCGAGAGCTCATAACCTATCCACACTATTCAAGATGTCGTCTCTGTATCTGACCCCCAGATGCAATACACCGGTGGAATTATCAAGACTGTCAATCGCATTTTTTGCCATGGTCATGTGTTTATGGGAGGTCAAGTGTCGAATTGATTCGACAGACGTGTATCTGACAGTGCTTGGCAAGAGCCAGAATGTGCATCCACTTCCGTTAAATGCATCTGGTTGCGGCATTTGAAGCATCGCACAAGAACTGGTGGTGAACTTAGTGAGTTAGATTTAGATGTCAAATTTTGTTTCATGACCACAGCGCGAATAATGTGCCAGTCCATGCGAACCACATCGAGAATATCCGCATTCCACGAAATTATGGATTTGTTTTTTGTCATCGAGTCGTAAAACCCAAGAACTTGTGCACTCGCTGCACAGTTTTTTCCATTAACATGTTCGTACAATGGGATGATATTACAACGTTCGATAACCTCTTGCCGAAGCCATTCAAATGTCAACTGCTCGGTCAAATACACACGCAAAATCTGGTGAGGTCCAGTTGTGAATCCAGCACCGGACACAGCGAAAATTTGCACAAAGCAACGGCGAAAACGCTCTGTCCTGGTTTTTACCAAAGGACGTAACAGCAGGGAAGTAGGTACTTCACTCTGTATGGGTGCTGGTTTAGACATGGCAATAAACATAGCTTTCCAAAGATCAAAAATATTCTTGTCTTGTCTTTCGCCGTCTCCAGGTCGAAATTTAGTGATGCCAAGCTGATGTATTTTATGATGAAGTTGCATCTTACTGACAAGATTGAGAGCATTCATTGGCATCAATTTTGCGGCGTCAATGAGAAGACTTCTTGCTGTAGGCATATCTCGGGTACTAAGGCGATGCAGATCACTACAGCATGCCAATGCCAGAGCTAGCAAATGTCGTAATGAATTTTCACGAGCCATTTTGATCGCATACTCTAGTTGCGTCTGCGCTAACCGTGTTGGGCTAGATTTGGTGGACGAATTCGAACGTTGTAGATTGATAAATCCACTAACAAGCCACGTGAGAGTGTACAAATCTGGTTCGTCAAGAACACACGACAATTCCATTGCTGTGCCAAGAATAAAATGGCATTGCGGGCTGTGTAGATCAATTTCACTTGCAATTTGAAGTGCTAATTGAGCTTTGTTTTCAATGGCCTTTCGTAAAGCTTCTCGTTTAAAATTAAAATCAGAGATAGGCTGATTTGGCCCGGTGTAAGCACTGGAAAGAGTTTGAATGGGAAGATTAACTTCATGTTCTATGTCACCGTACAGTGCCACGTCAAGGTCCCCATCATCAATTTCGACCGCAAGCATCACTGCCAAGCGAGAAGCTGCTCGCTGAAAATCAAAGACCATTCGTGAAGTTGTTTTTCGATTTGAAACGTCAGCAACGCCATCTTGCAAGGACACTTTGAGACCTTTTCTACCTTCGACTGACTTGTCATGGTCACTACAATCGAAATCAATAATCACGTGCGGTGCAGATGCAGTCTTTAGGGCGTCGATAAAAAAATCTCGATTAAGATTGTGCTCAAAATCGAGCCACAAATTACTGCTGTCCCTTACCACCATAATCAAATCTTTGGGTTTTGCACATACGTTCTCATTTTGATTCGAATTGTTAATGGTAAGCTGCACCTGTATGATAGCCGAGTACTCAATAACTGCCCACTGTTCGTAATCGTCAAACGAATGTACGTGAGGACACTGAAATTCGCTTGCTTGTCGTTGCTCCACACTGCTTTTTGAAGAAAGTTCTGATGGGGACATACACACACACGATCGCGTTCGTGGCGATTTTCGACGAAAAATAACAAGATAAGACTTTCCTAATGCAAGCAATAGATCCTTGTCGGCTCGATACGGTTTTTTTCGAATCCGCCTGAAACAAGTCTTGCTGAATGACTCATCGTCTATCCATTCGTCATCTTCGAGATACACACGCGCCAAACTTCCATAACTGCATAAACTCGAATTTGACATTGATTGTCTTGGACGATACGAAGGGGCGAGAAACAACTTAGCCAGCCGAAATTCCCAAAATAGGAAGGTTTCTTGAGCTTTGTTTGAAGATTATACTGTTTGTTCTAACAATGTGAATCCAAACTGCACGTACGGAAGGAAGCCGGATTGGAGCGGAGTTTTTTATCAAATCGAGGTTATCTTAAAAGGATGCTGCTGTAGAATGTGTCCAATCGACGTGAAAGAAGTGGAATTTAGAGAACTCGAAGGAGAAGAGCTATAGACGTTGCGTGCTTGCAAAAGACACCACCGCTTCTTTCAGGTTTCAGTCCACTTGCTGTTGAAGTTAGCTCACTGTCTATTTGCTGTCTGTACTACTAACTGTAGCGTTGACAGAACCTACCTTTTGGCGCGTTTCATCAGCACAAACACACGCGACCTTCGAGTGATAGTTCGTTTGCCCAACTAAAAAAATGTCTTGGTGAAGCATCGATGCTCGGTCGCTTCGGTATTGTCGTTTCAGTGAAAAGCGCAGTAGGTTCTTGCTGATGGTATTTCCGCGGCTTTACTGGCCTACGTCGTTTTTTGTTATGTTCAGTAATTTATCAGTCGTCCAACGCTTGTGGTTTTCCTTGCGTGTGGATACATGATACCATGACCTCCTTCTAGTCGCACCTCGTTTTCTCGCCGTACTTTCTGCGTCTTTATGTTCATCTGGCGCAGAAAGTACCAGACGCGATAATATAATAGGTAGGTGCAAACAGTTTCAAGCAGTGCAGTGGGAAGGCTTTGCAGCCAACCACATAAAATTTGACGATTTGTCATAGCAAGTAGCATATATGAGTAAGCAGTTGTTTTTGCAAGCTTAGACATACCGACGTAGTCCTACTTGCTCCAAGTATCATTTACAGTGTACATCAAATTGTCGATTCAAGCATTGATGAAAAGCTTTCACGCTGTTGTATAAATTGATTGTTACCAATAATTATAGATCTCAAGAATTACTGTATTTTCCAAAAAATATATTGCAACAACCAAGGATCGAAGTAAACATCATAGATCATTTTTTACAATGAACAACGATGCTGTAATTGTACGCAAAAATACTTTGAACAGCTTAGCGAAATCAGTTATGACGAAGGCTGTAGTGATATCCCAATCTTGGGGTCTTGTGTTACTAAAGCTCTCTAAGTTGAATGCCTTATATCTACCAATGTCGTCACCGATAGAGGCCTTATGTCTTCATTATGTGTTCCGTAATGGTATCAACAAGTTGATAGCAAGGCAAGTGGTGGATGCAAGGGTACCATACCAATTAAAAGGCCGTGAAACCAAAAAGGCATGCGTTGCACTATAACGCGAACTTGTCATTTCGCTCCAGCTCTGCACTTACTCCGCGGAAGAATTTTGACCGATTTCCACACCAAGCGATCGATGCATTTGCTGGTATGTTGTATCCTCAATCTTACCCGCCCGATATATCCGGTAGAGTGCGGATCAGAGGCAAGCCATGTTAACGCGGGGAGAGATTTGGACGTTTTTTTATCGTAAGGGCGTCGCTGACAGCGCTGTCATTGTCGAGATTTGCTTTATCATAAATTTTATTAGGGCTTTTCCCCAATGCACATATATATCGTTAATATAAAAATGAGAAGTGAAAACAGCCAAATTTCGAATTTTTAACACAAGCTTGAAATTTATTCCGCGGAAGACACTTGATGCAATATACGCCGATCTTACCGTTAACCAAAATAAGTGCTCGACGTAGTGAATGCAAGTTTGGTATTTGTGCGTCTCCGTTTCTTCTTCTAACAGAGTCCTAACTCTGCCAAAGACCACCCTAACTTTTTTGAAAAGCATCTTGCAGACAATTCAGGTTTTCTTCCACATGTTTTGTTCTGTTTCCCTTCCATATTTAAAGTACAAATTTAGCAAGAGCATCCTCGTCTGGCTTCCAAATGACTCATCGTGCACTTTTCAGCACTTTACCGCATACGTATATCAAGCTTCTAAGCGAGATGCATCACTTCGCGACTACCATTTTAAATTTTTATGTTGAAATCCCTTTTTTTCGGAATCGAAGCTCTGTACGAGGTAACATGTAGAATCTTGGACTTCGTTGAAGTGTAAGCCGTTAAAAACACGTCACAGGTCATGTGCTGTACGTGATTTAACTGCGAATGATTGTCGTACAAACCTGTGGACGAGTGATTAAGTATGTCACGGTCAAAGAACAGGATTATCAAGACAAATCACATGATACAATCAGCTAGTGGCTTTAAGCATTGAGCAAGTTTTATTCTGCTCTACATCAATGAACGCAATTGGTATCCGTCAATAACTCCATTTGCGTAAGAAGCCGTCATGGCTTTGAGAAAAGTGATTGACAGACCATATCGCTGCCAACAAGCGACAAGATTAAGAGCGTCGCTAGCAGATGAATGCAAAGCCGCTGGAATTTAAGTGCTTGCTGTGGTGGCACAGGTCTCGAGTTTATCAAGTTCAACTTCAAAAGCATGAGAGCTTCGACACATTATTAAGCTTTACATATAATGCTCGCTGGGTGTGGCACTTCGCTTCGCAGCCCTTGACTTTACCCTGGAGTAGGTTACACTTGACGGTCGAATGATCGACATCGGTGGTTTAATCAAGCAAAAGCCCCATGCCTGCCGCAAAATTAGAAGAAGAAGAATAGCACAGACAGTAAAGCTATCTAGAATTGAGTGTAGACAAGCTATGGTAAAAGTGTCCTTTCAAGGCCATAGACTGCAATCTGCTATTCATGAAGAAGCTATGCTGTGTATTTCTTTCGCTTTGTACTTCGCTGCGAGCCGATGAATATAGCATTATATGAGCATCACTATCTCGTTTGCTTTATTACTCCATTTGTCAAACATTTGTCTGGCTTCATAACTTGTCTTGAAATAAAAGAGTATAATTATTTAATCTGACAATTCCAGCTGACCAAAAGTCGAATGACCAAAGCACTGGCCGACCTTATATGATAAGCATGATTTATTAGACAATCGTCACGCTAGATATGATGCACATGTGCTATGATTCTTGTTTGTTGTATGTACTAAAAGCTCTGGCTTTATAAGGTGCCAAAGCCTCGATTGATGCTATATAGACTACAGCAGGACAGTGATCAAGCTTACAACACTAGGTAATAGGTAAGTGTAACAAAACCCATGCGTCTGTAGACATTCGATTGCATCAAGCCTTGCTTTGTATCCACCTTGTCACATCAGAGTACACACAGTCATTTGCAAGAAAAAACTAGTATATTTCTGGACGTAGCATCGGATCTGGCGACAAACAGCCCCGTTCAGTCAATTAACAAGTGATGAGTTGATGATGAAAAGCATCCAACGTTAGTAACGCTATTTCATAGCTCTCTAAGCGTAGGCGCCTACTATTTGGTTCAATAGTATCACTACTCTTTCGTAAACACCGTCAAGGACATTACCTGCGTGATTGTCACCTGAATATGAAGCATTGGCTAATGATGGAACTTCACCTTCACTTCCCGAACTTGGTGGCAGTCGTGTTTATCGGCATGCGAGAGTCGCTTTGAACGAGAGGCCAACTTTATTAAATTCAGGAAAATTAGCATGGCGTGGTTGCTGTTTTGCTAAATCCGTTCTTGAGGAGTTTGGTATACGTCGGTATCTTCTTGTCAGTAAAAGATGTCGAGCGCAAAATGTGGTGATACGGAATTGGTGAGGGTCAAGCTTACTCTTCTTGATTGAGTCATTTTGTGCAAATTCGCGTATTTAAAATTTACTTCTTGTAAATTTAAATTGGAGTTGGCGAAGAGCTGAGTGAAAATTTCTGAAAAGACGCGTCCAACAGTCATCAGTGCTATTCCTCATCACTAGCACTAAATATACATCGTGTTAAGCATTGAACGTGCGATCTCCGTCAAATTCTGCAAATGCCCGCTTTGCTTCGGCAAGTCGGGTTCACCAATATGGTGAACGATACCAAACCTTGCACGAAAAAGAACTAAACCAGTGACTTTGGCTTTATCCACCGTTGTCACTTCGACGGTATATACTCTCTTTTGCGCAGAATTTCTTTAAACAATTCAGGACCAGTTCTTCACTGATATAGGAACACATGGAGAAGCGTGTAAAGTCATCAAAAACTGTGACCATGTAATGCGCTACCCTGTCGACTTGGGCTTGATCTGTCCTTGATGTCATTATAGACAGTATCAAATGCATGCGCAGTCTGAGCTTCACTTCCATAGAACACTTTTGGCGACGGCTTACCACATGCATTTTGCATCTTAACAAGCGCCTTTTATTGCGTCGATCGTTAATGGACCTGCATAGCCAAGTAGAGCGCTCAAAAATTATTGCTGCATTCGCCACCAATGTTCTACCGATCTCTTGGGTGACTACGAAGACTATTTGCCACAACATTTTAAGTTAACATGAGTGAAGCATAACCAGCTCAGAATTTTGTACGACAATGTTTTGCAATTAGAGCTGTAATAGATACCAGTGTGACGTTGTCACCTTCACCATGACAGAATGGGATGGTAGCGAGCTTCACAGCATGTAGTTACTGATTTATCGGCTACGAAGATTTCGATCGGAAGGCCAGAGTGCAATACTTTATAAATCTTGGCGGTCTCTACTGATGTGGGAGATCGCTCCAATAATCGAGTCGTTTTCTGAAACCAATTTTACTAGCTGCCAAAAAAATCAACTAGTTGCACCTTCCACACTTTCGATACGGACACGATGACGCCCAGGGACGAACGTGTTTGCAAATGAAATTTTTTTAAGTTCTAGTTGATTTTTCTCCGACGTAATGGTGACTGTCTCCATTCGTCATTCCACGGCGTCGTCTGTTATCACAATGGACATTATCACCTCGTTTACGGCAACGGACGGACGCACCTTCAAATTTCAATATTCGTACTCGCGACAAAGCCATCGAGAATTTTATCTCTGAGCGCAACTTACCAAGCAAAAAAGCATTTTTTCATTTGAGTCAGTCCTTCTCTTATTACTAACGGCTGAGACCTCAAAGCTGTAAAATGATACAATGTGTCGCATCAAACCTTCGCCAAATGACAGCAAGAATTCATGCAATTGCTTGCGTAGTTGTTTCGGCTATGCAGACACTGCTTCAACATAATGTGTCGAAGCTCTCATGCTTTTGAAGTTGAATTTGATGGAATCGAGACCTGTGCCACCACAGCAAGCACTTTAATTCCAGCGGATTTGCATTCATCCGCTAGCGACGCTCTTAACCTTGTGGCTTGTTGGCAGCGATATGGTCTGTCAATCACTTTTTTCAAAGCCATGACGGCTTCTTACGCAAATGGAGTTATTGACGGATACCGATTGCGTTTATTGATGTAGAGCAGAATGAAACTTGTTCAATGCTTAAAGCCACTAGCTGATTGTATTAGGATAAATGTTGCCCCAGAACATTTCACCGACTCACCACTCCACATATATAGGGAACGCCACCTCGGTTATTAAGGAAAGTGGTGAAAATTATATAATTATATTTTTAAATAATTATTGCAATGTCAACAATATATTGTAATTAAGTATAGTATAATTGCCCAATATTTTAAAATATTAGCTAAATAATAACATCAATATTAATATTGCAATATATTGTGTTAATCTATTCCGGTTTAGTACGTATTGGATGGGTGTTAAGTACGATGATAAGCCTTGCGTTGTAATTTATAAATTATCTTACTCGTATAGAAAAAGACCTTGTAGTCGATTGACTAACGATCAATGGACGAAAAGGAAAGAGTTTGGCAATAGCGAGAAAACGATTTGGTTACAATAGGAAGCTGCAAGGTGCG